TTCATTAAGGTCTTAATTAATCTAAATATTTTGAAGAGCAAGCGCAGCTGATATATACATATTCAGAGTTATTGAAACTACTGCCTTGCCTGGGAAAAGGGACTCATTGGTAAAAGGTATGAGAAAAAAAAAATAGCATTTGTACTCCACAATGGTGCCTTGACTTAGTAATAAGAATAAGGTAAATTTTTAGCTGATTGATGCTAAAAGAAAGGATAAATAAGTAGATAACGGACAATTAAATAATTGACTTCATAAAATGAAGCAAAACGAACAGAAACTCATTCATTTGCTTTAAGTTCTTTGCTCTAGTTTACTCATCTACATTAGAATGAGGTCATTTGAAGGGGTTTAGATTCTCTTCCATCTCACACACGATTCTGGCATTCTTCATATTACAATGGATATAAAAGCTAGAGAGGGACCAGCAGTTGGCTAATAGCTATGTCACTGGATTCCCATGTAGTCAACCGCAGTTCAAGTTTTGGACCTGGTGGCTTAAACTCACACCAGGCGCATGTGTGTGCCCAAGATCTGGAGAGAAGAATGGAGAAGAAGGGATGCAGAATGACCATCCACCCTAGGCAGGTGATTTCTTACTTTCTGTCTCTCTGTCTCTGTGGCCAGCACACATGCCCCTTTTTAAAAAAAAAAAAACAAAAAAAAAAAAAAAAAAAAAAAAAAAAAAAAAAAAAGAAAGAAAAGAGAAAAACTAGATAGCTAGATATATATTTCCTAATGTAAACAACCTAGTTGCTCATCTTTGGATGCACAGGTAAATGCATTTTGATATATACACATGGTGGAATACTTAAACTTTAAAAAAATGGGGTGGGGGGGGTACTGATTTCCTAGCACAGTGATGATGCTCTGCTTGGGAGAAGTTAAATCCCATATGGTAACCCGTACGGTCTGAGTTCACAGCCCACTGACTGAAAGCACATCAGGCACATGAACACTTGCGACCCCTGGATCTGACAGGCTGGAGGACTGGAAGAAGGGGATTATGATGTGACTAGATCCTGTGAAGGGTCTCTCTCTTCCTCACATGTACGTGTATGCATTCTACCATGAATACAGAAAATAAAGAGTATATGCTGTCATGGGTACTATGATAAATCTAGAGGATCAACCTGGAGGACATTATGTTTAGTAAAATAAGTCAGACACAGAAAGACAAATACCTGATGATCTTACTTATACGTGAAATTTTAAAAAGTCAAATACAGAGAAACAGAGTGTTATCAGTGGTGGGGAAAAGGAGGAAATAAGGAGTAGGTCAAAACGTACAAACCTGCAGTTACAGTTCTGTAGGGTGAATAAGTCTAGAGAGCTAATGTAAAGCATGAGAACTATAAATTATATTGCACACTAATAATATGCTGAAAAAGTAGATATTAAATGCACTTATCTGTTGAAGGTATTTTATAGTTTTATCAACTGGACTAGGGAGAAATGTTCACATATTGAAATATTCACTTTGTAAGCTAAATAATGTGATTGAATGTATAAAAGAAAGTGAAATTAAAAAGTGTAAATAAAAAAAGATCATGAATAGGTTAATTTGCTTAACTGTAGTAAGCATTTCACCATGTATATGTATATCAAAACAGAACATAGTATACCTTAAATATATACTTTTAAAAAGAGGAGACCTTATAGAAAGGGAGAAAATAAAGATGGTGCTATTTGTTAATGTATTACCTCATTAAGTTAAAAGCTGGTAGGTTGGGACCAGCAGTTAGCGTAATGGCTATGTCGTTGGACTCCCACGTAGTTGACCGCTGTTCGCATCCGGAACCTGGTAGCTTAAAACTCACGCTGGGCGCCTGTGTGTGCGTGCCCAAGATCCTGAGAGGAAAATGGAGGAGAAGGGATTGTGGCGTGGCCATCCTCCCTGGGGGGTGATTTCTTGCTTTCTGTCTCTGTCTCTCTCTATCTGGTGAGGGAACGCGCCCTATAGCGAAAACCTCTCAAAAAAAAAAAAAAGCTGGTAGGTTAAGTATTTGCTACAAGCTCTAGTATTGGTGTAGCTTATGAAAGAAGATATTTCTTCAATACAAAAATAAGCAAAAAAATTATTACTTAAACTTCTGAAGAAATGAGACAGATCTATGTGTCTTCATATGAAGATATTGCCCAATATATTTATTGGGATTAGTAGGATGCAGTAGAGAGTATAGAGAATGTATACGTATATGTAGTGTATATGTACATTAAGCGTCACTAAAAAGATCAATAAGGATCTGGGAATGGTGGTTGCTTTTAAGATGAGAATAGGGTGGCTAGGAAAAGTGTTGGATGGGAAACCTGATTTGTACCAGATTACTTTTTGCCTTTTGCATAACGTGTATATACTGCTTATTTTTAAATATCTTGAAGTTTCAATTACAAGTATTTTGATAAATTGTTTAGTCTCATTTTTCTATGCATTAATAGACATTTATTTTATGAAAGAAATTATTTTAAAGTGAGGCAAAACATAGTAATCAAAACTATTCATAATCACCAGTGGAATTCATATTTTAAGCGTAGTGTGTTAATATATGTTTATGGCAGAGAAAGAATATTCTGCAGAAATAAATCAAGGGGTACATTATGTACTATCTCACCTATATTGCTGTTGTATCCATCTTTTTTTTTTTTTTTTTGAGATTTTTGCTATAGGGTGCATGCATTCGCCAGAGAGATGGAGACAGAGAGACAGAAAGTGAGAAATCACCCACCAGGGGTGATGGGCATGCCACAATCCTTTCTCTTCCAGTATTCTCTTGGGATCTGGGGCACATATGCACATGTGCCTCGTGTGAGTTTTAGGTCACCAGATCTGGGACTCAAACCGCAGTCAACTAAGTGGGAGTCCAGCAATGTAGCCATTATGCCATCTGCTGGCCCCTCCATCAATTATTTTTAATACATAACTGACATGCTAATTTCTCTGATTTGATCATTACACATCGTATGCACTTCCACTGAACCACATAAACAGGTACAATTATTTTGTATCAATTAGAATGGAAGATTTAGGGACCAGCATATGACAGAATGATTACATCGTTGAACTCGCACTCGGCCTACTGCAATTTGAGTCCTGGACCCAGCAGCTTGAAATTCATGCATGTGTAGTGTCTGTCCAAAATCCTGAGAGGAGAATGGAGGAGAAAGGATTGCAGCAAGGCTAGCCCCTCCCCCAGAGGAGTGAGTTCTTGCTTTCTGTTTCTCTGTCTCTCCAGTAAGCGCATATGCACTATAGCAAAATTATCTCTTAAAAATAAAAAATATTTCATGCAAACACTGTATATTCCTACTCAATATATACTGAAAGCCTGCACTCTATGGCAGAAAGGGAAAGATCCAAAGATATAATAGTAGGGAGAATAAGTGTAGGTACCAGCGACTCCAGGGGAGGAGGGGTGGATAGTAGTGGGTGGGTAGCAGGGATGTTCTAGAAAGTAATACTTAAGTACTTTACATTTTTCTAGGCTGTGTTATTTAGGAACATCATAGTTATTCTATCTTGGCACACTGTCAGAGTAAATTGTTCCTTTTTGTCTCTGTACTAATACTGCTATGCCAGCTTTTTTTTCAAAACAGGGTTTGGTACACATTTTTTATTTTCCTTATTTTTATATATTTTGCATCATTTCGTTCTGTTATTTCAGAAATGGCATTGACAACCATGAAGCAGTGAATCAATTTGTAAAACCATTCAGCATTTTTTGTTCCGATAAAAGAAAAAATAAAAACAGACTTAAGAATATAAAGTTCTTCGGTCAGCAGATGGTGTAGTGTTTATGTTGCTGGACTCCCACATGGCCGACCACGGTTCAAGTCCCAAACCCAGTAATTTGAAAATCACACCAAGACCATGTGCATGTGTGCCCAAGATCCTGGCAGGAGATTGGAGAAGGGATCACAGCATGGCTATACTCCCTGGGAGGTGATTTCTCACTTTCCTTCTCACTGTCTCTGTCTCTTTCTCTCTCCAGTGAACACACACACTCTGCAGGGAAAAAAAAAAAGAATAGAAAGTTCTCCATTGAAAATGAAGTATATAGGAACCAGCAGATGGTATAATGGTTTTGTCACTGGACTCCCACATAGTCCACCACAGTTTGAGTCCTGGACCCGGCAGCTTCAAACTCTCGCTGGACGTTTGTGCGTGCATGCCCAAAGCCCAAAGAGGAGAATAGAGGAGAAGGGACTGTAGCATGACCATCCCCCAAGGGGGTAATTTCTCACTTTCTGTCTCTCTCTGTCTCTCCAGAGAGTACATGTGCCATATAGGAAAAATCTCTCTTAAAAAGAAAAAAAAATTAAGTATACAGTAATATCATTGATTTGATTGTCACATACAACCTGCACACTTTGAAAATCATACTGAGTGCTATAGAGATATACTATGATTGAACATGACTAAGAAACCACAGACTTTTTAAAAATGTAATGTAACTGATATGGTGGTAGGATAGTTATAATAAAAGTCTCTTAACTAGAGGTCATTCAGTGGGGTTCCTCTGCTATACTAATTTCATATATACAATTTTATTCTAAGAAATATAACATTTTTCAGTTAAGAGACAGTAGTGACCCAGCAAGCAGTCAACTTACACAAGGTTTCTTGGGAGACTATAATTATTGTTCTAAGAATTGTGACAATACAGTACGATACCATTTAACCATAATACTCTATGTCTCCTTTGTCTGTAAAGTGCTGGGAGCTTTTTTAATCAATCTATTAATCCCACTTGGAATGTGATGATTAATTAATTTTGAAATGCCCTAAGTACAGACTAAAAGGCAAGGCAATTCAGCTCAGGCGATACAAAGAAAATCAACGTAAAAAACAAACATCATTTTTAAAGTTCGTTTATTTGTAGATTAAAATGTAATGCCATACAATTTTAACAATCACTTAAAAAAAGGATTTGTATTTGCATAAAACAGAAGCAAAACAGAAATATAGGAAATAAAATGCCATCTTGCTTCAAGTTTTCAAATCAGTACTTAAAGTACTAATATACATCTATGTACATTGCAAGTATATTTTATAAATATACTATGAGTTATCTTGAAACCACAATAAATATCAAGTAGGTTTTTAGGCACACGGCATAAGAAAAATGCAGAACCTGCATACTTCTTGAGAGTGCTGAGTTACTCACTCTTAGCTCATTTTCACACATATATTTTACATAAAATACACAGCCATCGCTCACATGAGCCTCAGTCACCTCTGAAGCTAACCTTGCATCCTAGCATGAGTGCCTTCTTATTCTTTGATACTATTGCTCTATACAGCTATTACATAAGAAAAATACTTTGCAGTTTTCTTCAGCTAATTGCCTAAGAAGGTATCATCAATGCTACCAAAATAAGTATAGCCTATCTACACGGTATATTCAGGGAAATGTGCTGAGAGGCACCGATTTACAGAACTGACTTATTGTAACACTGGGAGTTTTCCTGAAGGCAAACTTAAAAAATTTAAGATATGCCATTGTTGAATTGCCAATACTCTTAAATCCAGAAATTATTATAAACTGAGGTAACACCTGTTAAGAGATAGAAATACTTGAAAATATACCAAAAGTACTTTAAAAAATCCTGACATACATGGACCTCAGTCATTGTGGAGTTTTGTCTGTAATCCTTTCCACACAAATGTAAACCAAAGAATCCAAAGGAACGCTCTAGCTGGATTTCACAGACTGTTAAGATTAAAGACCACAGCCATGGAACACCTGAGATCGCCCTCTGATAAGTGAAGCCTAATGCTTCTCTTAGTAGAGCCAATATTCATTGATAAAAATAAGCCAAATAAAACCCCCTGACTTTCCCCCCCAACTACAAATCAGACTCTGGCATATCTGGCATATCTGCCATCAAGTACCCTATTCCATACCGTCCATTGGGAGCAGTATCCAGAGTTGGTGATCCACTCTGTTTTCTATAAATATTTTTACCAAAATTTGGAGATGACATCTCGCTTGGTATCTTTCCATGAATGAGACTGGCATCATCTCCCTCTAAGTTTACAGGCTCTTTAAGGACTCTTCCTCTCTTATAGGTCACAGAGGCCAAATTACCAGAACTATCATCTATGAGATTACAGCGACGAACGATGAAGACCACCGGGACGGGGAGTATTGCAAGGACCATCAGAGAGATGCAGATGACCATTCCCCACGTGGGGTAGCTCAGAAATTCTTCAGATGCCTGTTAAAGCCAAAAATACAATTACCAATCATCTATGTGTCTCTACACGTACGTGGAAAAAATATATTCATCTCAGGTTTTTAAACAAATGATCCAGGTCCGTTTTGTAAATTGTTTTGGCCAACGGAAAGTAGTAGAAGTGACATTCAGTAACTTCCAAGACTAGGCTGTAAAGGCCTTGCAATTTCTACTTCTATTTCTTAGAATGCCCTGAATCCATGATGCTTGGAAGAAGCCAAGAATGAAAGACCACTCAGAGAGAGAGGCTGACTTTCCAGCTGAAATCAACCCATGAGTTAGCCTAGGCAAAAATCAAATGAAGAACTGCCAAGCCCACCCACAGAACCATAAGAAATAATAAATCAGCACTGTGTTTAGTTATTACATTTTGGGGTCATTTTTTGGTTTTTGTTTTGTTTTGTTTTGTTTCCCTAAGCAATATATGCCTGTTACTTGTGCCATATCATCTTTCTAAAAACTTCAAAACCTAAATTTTGAAGCACATTTGTCCCCAGGGGTTTTGATAAGGGATGACAGACTTGTTTGTGCCTCAAATGTGACTTTAGTTGTCCGATACATAGAATCTGACCACAGGATAGCTAAAAATCAGAAGTATCTACAAAACAAGGATGCTAGAGCCGGCCCCATAGTACAGTTTCTAAACAGCTGGCCAGATTCCACATGGCCAACTATGGTGGCAATCCCAGGCCTGGTGGCTTCATAAACACCCCAGGCACATTACATGCCATACCCAAAATCCTGATGGAAGGGAGAAATGGAGGAAAAAGGAATGCAGCATGACTATCCCCCATTGAAGGGTGCTTACCCTCTCCCTCTCCCTCACTCTTCCTCTCTCTCTCTGGCAAGTGCATGTGCACTCCAGCAATTTAAAAAAAAAGTACTCTGATTTTATAACAGCTACAGATAGCTCATGAACATGTTATTATGTGGCTAACGCAGCTTTAGAATAGAAATAAAATAGCCGTTACTATATAAAAGGGTTATAACCATTTAGTTCAATATTTACTTGTGCTAAACTATGTTTACATGGCTAGGGCACATTTCTATTGTTATAAAATATCCAGGATATAATTTAATAAATTTATGTGGGAAAATATTTCTGGGGGGATTGACTAATATATTTTCTAGAGTCATAGGCCCAATAATCATTATTTCACCAATGTTAAGATGAATAAATGTGCTTTATAAGAAGGTCAGTACTTCTCATGTATTAAAGAAATGCACAATGTATTTAAAAATGTAAATGCTTGGGGCTCAAAACATAAATCTCAAGATCTTCCCGTCAAATCAAGACATGGATTAAACAACAAAAGATTCAATGAAGGAAACAAAAGATAAAACCCTCTAAGTTGGCTTTGTATATACATTTAAAATCCAACTTCCTTATTTTGTGTTTTACCTTATCTTCGATCCATGCATTATAACCAGGAGGACTTAATCCCATATTCACAATGCTAGCTATTAGCAATGACAACAGCATTAGAGGAGAAATATATTTCCACATATAGTAGTAATATCTGCTGGGAGCAAAGCCCAGCATGTCTTTGAGGTCTTCCATAAACCTAAACAAAAAGAAAGTATTTAATTGTGACTTGAGTTAGCACTGCTATACCCCAGAAATGTGTATTATATCAATGCTTTAGTAGAGAATTAGCCAAACATATTCCATGATATTATACAACGGATCAAAAACTCATATTGGAAGATGACTTGTAAATTAAGAAAACGTATAATACAAAATGTAACCAGTGAAGCACTGTAATTTTCATTTAATGAAAATCCTCTTAAGTCAATTATTGAAAAGTTTCCTCCTACCGATAACTTCTATTCTGTTCTGTGAACACTAAAATGTTATAGGGCATTAAGAATTGTCTCATTTTGCTACACAGCAATAATTCCTTAATATCATCCAGTATTACTGATCAGTGTTTCTATTTCCTGAATTTTTACTTCTCTTCCCAGTCTGTTTGAATTGAAAGAAGATCCCACTGCTGTAACTAATTGATAAAGCTCTCAAATTCTCTTTAATCTCAGGATTCCCCTTCATCTGTTCTTTTGTTTGTTTGTTCCAATTTTTTGTTGAATCAGCTGGGTACTTGTCCTAAACTTTCCCACAGTCTGATTGCACCCCCACAGGGTTTTGAAGTGCGTCTGATCCTATTTCCCATAATTAGTACTTAGACTTAGAATCATATTAAGATGAATGTTGAATTTTTTAAAAGTCTGCTTATTGAAATATAATTTGCAGAAAGTAAAATTTAGCCCTTTTAGGTCTCAGAGCATTTAGCCATAATTAGTGCTATTTCCCATACTTAGTACTTAGACCTAGAATCATATTAAGATGAATGTTGGATTTTTTTTAAAGTCCAGTTATTGAAATATAATTTACATAAAATAAAATTCGGCCTTTTTAGATGTCAGATTATTTAGCTATTACATGATACTCTATCTCCCTTTATGTTTACCTAAAGATATACATTTAGTGCCCACCCACCCCAGGCTTCATATTGGCATTTTGGAGAATTTTTTGATCATCTAAAATCATTGTTCTCTAGTAGATTCCTCGAAGAAGAGTCATATTAACTCTATATCCTACATTTTTGTATGTTTATTTTTTGTGTGCAGTCACTGTACTTAAATATCAATTTGGTTGAATTTAGAACCTGTGGCTTATTCTTTCTTTGGGTGTCAAAAATAGGCATAATGACATGATATCATTCCAAGAGTTACGGACCATCAGACTTTTCTCTTATAAGTGATTTTCCTTTTACTATGTTTTCCTGGATTCCCTGGTTTTTATTTCTTTAAAGAAAAAAAAAGTATTTTTATTTAAGAAAAAAATTATTACTTAAAAAAAGGTAGACTATATTTTTCTTGAAGTAATAACCTGGGCTACATCTTGGTGTTGGCCACTGTCTAGACTTTTCCAGGTACACTGTGTGCCCTTTCAGCATTCAAGTTGTTGTTTAGTTCAGGTTAAGTGTCTTGAATTACATTTTTTAATATTTCTTTCAGCCATGCTTTTATTTTTATTTGCTAAAGTTTTCTTTTTTAAAAAGTTAACACCATGCGTGAAAGTAATAGAAAGAGAGACAGTGAGAAAAGAAGAGAGACAGCACCCCAACAGGGTATTGTCGCTATGATCCACTCCTCACCTCAGCCAGCCCAAATCGCAGGCACATGTGTGGCCTGCAAATTCTAGGAGGTCTTCCTTCAGATATGCATCAGAAATCTTACCCACTGCCTTACTCAGCATCACATTTTTTCTACAGCAACAGCATCTGGTCCCAAGCTCACTGCTTTCAGGAAGCTTCATTACTTAAGTGATGAATCATCTTTCTTACATATTAGTTCTAACTTCTTAAATTTTGTACCATCTCTTCTTGATCTTTCAAAAGTATTTTCTATCTTCTAATCCTTGTGGTAATACTCAGGTGCTTATTGTTTTGTATTCCTTTTCACATGCTCTTCCTTTCTGAGATGTTTTCATTTGATTCACAATTATTTCCTGAGTTCTTCTACCTCCTCTGTTTTCAAATCTTCCTTTACTCTAATGATTACATTTTTGGAATTGAAAATAAGTCTTATATATGCAGTCATCTTATAATGTCTATCAATTCTGAAAGTTGATCTCAGCTCATTTTGAAATACCGTTAGTTTTCTTTTCTTTTTTTTGCTATTACTTTTATCTTCTGCATGGATATTATTCTGCTCTTTCCTTTTTTCTTAAGACTTACCATATTGCAGTCACATGAATTCTCCTGTATTTTAGGAGAGAGGAATGAGCGTATCCTTTTTTTTTTTACAGTTATCCAAGATTTGGGAACCAGCAGTTAGTGTAATGGCTATGTCGCTGAACTCCCATGTAGTTGACTGCGGTTCGCATCCCGGACCCGGTGGCTTAAAACTCACGTCAGGCATGTGTGCGTATGTGCCCAAGATCCCGAGAGGAGAATGGAGGAGAAGGGATTGCGGGGTGACCATCCCCTCTGGGAGGTGGTTTCTCGCTTTCTGTCTCTATGTCTCTGTCTGTCTGTCTGGCGAGCGCATGCGCCCTGTAGTGAAAATCTCTCCAAAAAAAAAAAGAGAAAAAGTTATCCAAGATTGGCCTCATGAAGTCTCAGCTCTACCACCTCTTCTCTTTTTATATTTGTCTGAACTTCCTGTATGTATTGTCCCATTGTCTCTGTTCCTCTCAGTTCACAGTTTGCTCCCATCGCTTTCTCTTTAGTGCAGAGCTATGTCTTGGAATAAGAGACTTTGGTTTCTCAGTTTCAAGAGTATGGGGCAACCAGACTGTTCTAGCACTGGTAATCTTACTACATTTTAACCCCTTCATATTCCTTGAAATGAGCTAAAGGATCCTATAAAATTTCTCCCAGCTTAGGTATCTGTCCTTAGATTGGCCTGCAACATGACATGGTCCTTCTCAGGGAGGACTATGGGTGATGATGGAGGTGTCAGGAAAACAGATGAAAATTCTGTCATCACCCACTCAGATGTGACACCATAGACCTTGGAACTATCTGTGGCTTATCACCACTCACGTATTTGAGGGTTCATGGGGATATCTTCATGCCTATGTTCAAGATTTCTGGTTATGCTGATCTAGTCACTCTTTCTCTCTCTTTCTCTTTTTAAAAGTAAGATTTGGAGAGATACCCAAACTACACTGTCATCACTTTCTTTTTTTTTTCTTTTTCTTTTTCTTTTTTTTTTTTTTGAGAGGTTTTTGCTATAGGGCATGTGCGTTCATCAGACAGACCAAGAAAGAGAGAGAGACAGAAAGTGAGAAATCACCCCCCAGGGGGGATGGCCATGACACAATCCCTTCTCCTCCATTTTCTGCTCCGCATCTTAGGCACACATGCACACACACCTGGCATGAGTTTAAACCACCAGGTCTGGACTCGAACTGTGGGTCAGCTACATGGGAGTCCAGTGACATAGCCATTACGCCAACTGCTGGTCCCCACTGCCATCACTTTCAACTTCACAAAGTCCTCTTTTCCATGTCCCTTATTCATATTTCTTCCTAAACCCTGAATTGCTATGCTCTAATATTTTCCTTTTCTGCATTCAGATTTTTTGTCTCAAAAGCTTAGGTTTTGATTGCCTTCATTTTTCTTGACTCTGTGGAAATGTAAGTAAAAGTGGCAGAGGACACAGAGCAGAAATTAGTTCATGAAGTCATCGAAGTAGAACAGTAAGAATGCACAGTTGCTCCAGAATCTTAGACGGGGAAACGATCTTCAACATGAGGATTCTATACCTACTTCTAAACAAAATAAGAAATTTGGAGAGTAATGAATCTTGTTTTAAATAATAGCTTTGCCACCTTTTAATATATATTATTCCATCTGAGCTTTACTTTTGTCATTTTCAAAAATATATGCTATAATATCTACCTCAGAAGATTGTTGTTAGAATCATAAAGGATGCAGAGCCCATTATCTAAAATGAGAAGGAATTCAATAGATGCTATTGAATACTATGATTCTTTTTTTTTTTTTTTTTTTTTTTGAGAGAGAGATTTTTGCTACAGGGCACGTGCACTCACCAGAGAGACAGAAAGACAGAAAGCTAGAATCACTCCTCCCAGGGGGAATGGCCATACAACAATCCCTTCTCCTCCATTCCTCTCTTGGGATTTTGGGCACACACGCACATGTGCCTGGCATGAGTTTTAAGCCATTGGGTCTAAGACTCAAACCACAGTTGTCTACATGGGATCCCAGTGAGGTAACCATTACACCATCTGCTGATCCTTGAATACTACAATTTTAAATATATTACTTTTCTCCCTCTTGTAACTATTATTATTTAGGAACACTACTAAAATACATTCTCCAGTATACCATACCTATCATAAATAATACATTGTCTAAATACAAATCTTAAATTATGAACTTATGGATCCACAGAGCACTCTTAACAACCATATCGAATTCCATCACAGTGCTGATTAGGAATGGGGTGTATTTTGGTAGAGTATAAAGAAATCTGGCTTTGAAATCAAGATCTAGGTTAAAGTCCTGGCTCTGAAACTAAGATACTATATGTTCCTGCACAAGAAGAACCAAATTCTTATACATAAGATAATGGTGACGTTAGTACCCACAGACTGTTCTTTGACAGACTATATTCTGTGAGGAGCAATTTTAGGCTCACAGAAAAATTAAGCTGAAGGTACAGAGATGCCCATTTGTCCCCCACCTCTACAGGTGCACAGCCTCCTCCATTATCAATGTCCCCCAGCAGAGTGATATATCTGTTACAACTGATCAATCTACATTGACCCATGGTTATCACCAGGGTCCAGAGTTTTTGCTGGGGTTTTTTCTTGGTGTTGTAACTTCTATGGGTTTGTACAAAGGTCTAATGAAATCTTTTCATCATAGTCACTCATTCCTACACAGGGATGTAACAGCTTCTCTGGCCTAAAAATGATCTGTGTTCCACCTATTCATTCCTCCCTATTCATCCCCAACCCTGTCGACCACTGATCTTTCACTAGTTCCACATTTTTCCTTTTCTTGAACTTAATACAGTTGCTATCCTTCAAGATGTAGCCTTTACAGATATTGTTGTTTTTTTTTTTTCACTTAGTAATATGTTTTACGTTTCTTCCATGTCTGTTGGTGGTTCAATAGATCATTTATTTTTAGTGCTAAATAAATTTCAATTGTCTGGATGTACCATGATTTATGTATTCATTTGAGAAATCAAGGATTTATTGGTTACTTCCAAGTTTTGACAATTATAAATAAAGGTACTGTATGGATTTGTGTGCAGGTTTACATAGATATACCTTCTCAACTCCTTTGGGAATGCATTTGCTGGATCATAGGGTAACAAGACTATGTGTAGTTTTATTTGAAACTGCCAAACTGTCTCCTAATGTGGTTGTCTCACCAGCAATTAATGAGAGTTCCTGGGCGAGCAGGTGGTGTGCAGATTGAAATGGCTGGATCCCAAATGACCAACTGAATGGTTGGAGTCCCAGATCCAGAAGCTTGAAAATCACACTGGGTGCATGCGTGTGCATGCCCAAAATCCTGAGAGCAGAATGGAGGAGAAGGGATTGCAGCAAAGTCATTCCCTCTGGGAGACATTCCCTCTCTCTTTCTCTCTCCCTTTCTCTCTCTGGTGAGTACACACACCCTTTAACAAAAAGCTGGGGAAAAAAAAGTGAGTCCCACATCCTCCCCCAAAGTTTGTGTTATAGGTGTTCTGGATGTTGGCCCTATTAATAAATGAAGTGGTAGCTCATTGCTGTTTTAATTTGCATTTCCCTGATGACATATGATGTGGAACACCTTCTCACTTGCTTACATTCTTATGAGATTTAACAGTTAACTTATGTTGCACAGCTATTACAATGATTGCTATATAGTTCATAATTATTCAATGAAAGTTCTACTCTTTCTGTCCTAGAGCTTTTGACAGTAATTAAAAACATTCTCTAAACCTTGCCACAAAGTTCATTCAATACAAATAGCGTTCTTCATGCTGCTAGAGAAGACTATGGTCTACACTCAGTTTTCACTCCTTCCTACTTTACATGCGGATGTAATAAGCTTAACGATCTTACTGCCCTTTAGTCTGTGTGTGTGGATTAGAGACAATGACTCTAAAAGTTATTAGACAAACACTTCAATGCTCTTCCTCCGCCCCCCCATATTACTCTAATGCTTTATTCTACATTACATACATGTACTTTCCATATCAAGTATGTATATAATTCAGAGGCTTAGGCATACAGTGAATACAAGTAATGATGTCACAAATAAGAGGTTTGTGTGCAGAAAATGATACATAAATCTTAGAGTAGGAGATAGCATTTCCTACAATTGTCCTGCTACATAACGCCGTATAATACTCAATCCTCCTCTAATGTAGTCTGACAAAATAATTAGAACATGAGCTTTAGAACTAACAGAAATGGCTTTGAATCCCATCTCTACTGCTGTCCGGATGTGTGCTGAAAACTCCTTGGTATCTCATTAAGACTGATTTTCCTCATCTAAATAACAACAATAGCGCACAAGAGCTTAAGGTTTGGGGGAAATAACCAAAACTCACTAGATCTTAGAAGCTACTATTGTACAAAGAGAGTTAAATTAAATTTGCAAAATTCTAGACCATATTATACTTTACACAAAACAACTACTTACTCAATAAAATTGTTGAATGAACAAGAGTCTGCAACAGATTGTATTTTGTAAAAATTTTCCCTCTATTCACTTCTAAGTGAGCTAAATACTGGTAATTGATCTCTTAAAACTAGAGATAAAGTGAACGCATAAAGGCAAATATACTCACTTATCTATGCCGTAAACAAAGCATACAGCAATGTTCTCCAAAATGACTACAATGAGCAGAGGCAGTGTAGCAGAATAATCATCAAACATAGTAACAAAGTAATTTCCAGAGCGTTGCACAAATATCAGGCCAATACAAAATGCCAGGAGACAACATATAACTGGAGAAAGGGAATAAATGGGGAAGAAAATGAGTCCCTATTCAAAGTCAAGTATTTTAAATTTCATTATGAATTACTGTGTTCAAACAATCTTTTTAAACGTTTTATTTTATGAATAAACAATACCTTTTCTGGGACCAGCAGTTAGCGTAATGGCTATGACGCTGGACTCCCACATAGTCAACTGCAGTTCACGTCCCGGACCCGGTGGCTTAAAACTCACACCGGGCACATGTGCGTGCATGCCCAAGATCCCGAGAGGAGAATGGAGAAGGGATTGCGGCGTGACCATCCCCCCTGGGGGGTGATTTCTCGCTTTCTGTCTCTCTGTCTCTCTCTGTCTGTCTGGCGTGCACACACGCCCTATAGCGAAAACCTCTCCAAAAAAAGAAAAAAAAAGAAACAACATCTTTCCTGATCCTATGGGGTATATGATATTGAGAGTTAGGTTGGTGGGTTTAGCCCCAGCTTTTAATATAAATGTATTGTAAAGTAGTAACTCATCTCCCTAAGTTTACTATGGCTATTTACTGAGCAAACACAAATGATAAATAAGACAAAATTTAGAGAAAACTTTTAAAGTATAAATTTACATACTGTACTTCACTCATTAATACAACGTGGGCTTTGGGGGCAGCAAATTATTCAAAGGTCATTTCTACATTTCATAATGTTCTATAGTGGGACCAGCAGGTGACACGGAAGTTAAGGCAGCTAGATCCCAAATGACTGACTTGCCACTTGACTCATGGACCCAATGGCTTTAAAATTATGCTGGGCACATGTACAAGTGTGCCCCAAATCCCAAGAGGACAATGAAGGAGAAGGGATTGCAGCATGGCTATCCCCCCAGGGAGTGATTTTTCACTTTCCTTCTCTCTCTCTCTGTCTCTTATGAGCACTCTTGCCCTATAGCAAACTAAAAACAATTAAAAATAATGTTCTGTGGTATTGGAACATATCTGTAACTTGTGATTTAATAATGAGACTATTGTGATTATTAGATTGGTCTAATAATATTATTAGAAAGGTCTATATTGGGTTAGCATAATGGCTATGTCACTGGACTCCCACGTAGTCGACCGCAGTTCACGTCCCGGACCAGGTAGCTTAAAACTCATGCCGGGCGCGTGTGTGTGCGTGCCCAAGATCCCAAGAGGAGAATGGAGGAGAAGGGATTGCAGCATGACCATCCCCCTTGGGGGGTGATTTCTCGCTTTCTGTCTCTCTGTCTCTCTCTGTCTGTCTGGCGAGCGTACATGCCCTATAGTGAAAACCTCTCCAAAAAAAAAGTAAAAAAAAAAAAAAAAAAAAAGTCTATATTTATATCTGATTAAAATAAGGTTAATTTTGAAACATAATTGGGAAAATCTCATCAGACCTAACATCAGTACCAACTCACTTTATATCTTCATCTTGCCCAGTAATATCTAAAATTAGATGTGTATACTTGTGACAAGCTACCATTAATATCAAAACTTGGGTTTGGGGAATCCACATAATATTCTCATATTTATATTAGACTTTTTATTCTCCCTTACTCATTATCAGAGGAACCTTTGAGAGTATAAAATTACTTGATTCTATTTCTCAATCACCTTTTAGGAAGAGAAAACAGAGATCCATGGGTTCAATCATGCAAGGGTTCCCTAACTATCACAATACATATGGACATTAACAGTTACCTCCATTAGTAAGCTCTATGAGCAGAATGATAGGGCTGTAAGTTACACCTTACAGAAATGAATATTATATGTAAACATATAATGAAGAAAATTGAAAACTATCATTTACTTGGGGTCTACTATGTATTGAAGTTAAATGCTTATCATAGTCTACAATACATTTTAATTATTTCCCCTGTTTTGGCTTTTGCTATAGGGCATGTGCACTTACTGGTGAGTGAGAGAGAGAGAGAGAGAGAGAAGAAAGAGAAAGAGAAAGAGAAAGAGAAGAGAAAGAGAAAGAGAAAGAGAAAGAGAAAGAGAAAGAGAAAGAGAAAGAGAGAAATCACCCTCCAGGGAGGTTGGCTACACCATGATCCCCTCTACTCTAGTACCCTCTTGGAATTTTGGACACATAAGTGTGGTGTGATTTTTAAGCCACTGGGTTCAGGACTCAAACCTCAAAGTTGGCTATGTGGGATCCAGTGCCTTAATCTCCATGCCAGCTGCTGGCCCCCCACTTCATTTCTTTAATATCCTAATTGAATAGTGTACTGCTATCTTTTTTTTAACTCAGTATTACTGTATCTTATTTTATAATGAAAATAACTTTAATTTCATACATAAGTTATGAAAATGTCTTTTCCCATAATGTGGACTATCTTCTTATTTTATTAATTTATTTATTTTTAAAAATTTTTAATATACATTCAATCACATTGTTTAGCTTACAAAGTGAACATTTCAATATGTGAACATTTCTCCCCAGTTCAGTTGATCAGAATATCTTCAACAGATAACACCACACTTCCTCATCCTGTCAATGCTCTGCCTCCGTATCCCTCCTCTAAATGTCCTTCCCCAGGCCCCACTCCTCCACACACACCACATCGGGCATTCACACCCATCTCTTGTGTTTGTATATTCTTTAGTCAATCAGTTTCAGCCACAGAGTGCAGACACTCAGTATATATTAAGTGGGGACATACAATTTCTCTCCTTCATAGCCTGGCTTGCTTCACTCAGCAATAAATCTTCCATATTCTTCCACTTTCTGTCAAAAGTGAGGGTTTTGTTGGTTTTTATGGCTGAATAGTATTCCATAGAGTATATGTGCCACAGTTTTTCAATCCATTCATCCCTACAGGAGCATTTGGGTTGGCTTCCTGTCTTAGCAATTGTGAATAGTGCCGCAATAAACATCGATGTGCAAGCACTTTTCCAATGTACTGCTATCTTTATTCCACAGATCAGAACAATGTCCGTGAGAAATTTCACTATTGTATTTAAAGTCTCAGGCTGGGGATCATGGTGTAACAGTTAGGTCACTGGACTCCCACATGGCCACTGCTTTTGAGTCCCAGACCCAGTAGCTTCAAAATCATGCTGGGCATGTGTAAGTGTGTGCCCAAGATCCCAGTAGGAGAAGGAAGGAGAAAGGATTACAGCATGGCCATCCCCCCCGGGGGGGATGATTTCTCACTTTCCCTCTCATTGTCGCTCGCACGCTCTCCTCTCTCTCTCTCTCTCTCTCTCTCTCTCTCTCTCCCACAAGCACACATGCCCTTCCTCAGGCAAAAACCACTTTAAATAAAAGTCTCAGGTGGTTGGGAATTCCACATAAGTCTGTCTCCACAGTCTGTGACGTGCTCTCTCTCATAATTACACCATAATATGAGGCAAATATGAAGAAAGAGCATTCTAGGTAGTGCAGACAGTAAGATGCGAGAGGAAAAGATAATGCACTTATCTAAGATGTCAGAGGGAAAGACAATGAGTAACTCATTTATCTAAGTCATACAGTACTAAAGAAGAACGAAAACACACCTATCAAAGGTGTTGAAAAAGCATTTCACGGAGGTCAAATACGACCTGATACTCCAGGTGTATGCCAAAAGACAGCAAGTTGAGGAAGAGATAGATTCATTGCCATTTGCTTTTTCCAAGTGAGTCTTACAGTAGAACTCAACAAATACTTCCTAGACTATTTTTCCCTCTCTACCATACTCCTCCCTTGACTTTGGAAGCCTTTTACTACAGGAGGGGATGTTTGGGATAAAGGAGCAAAGATAAGAAGACGACTTTTTTTTAGTCTGCAAGTCAGATCCACCTTTTTCTGTATTAGAAGACAGCCTTTTCTGAGTTTTTGTAGCATATAAAATCTCTATTATATCTCTACTGGTATAGTGATACAAGTCTTATCTACAAATTTGATTATAATTTTAGTACTATTCATTTCAGAGAGCAAGTTCTTTCACATTCATGCATCTCTTATAATTTCTCTTATATCATTCATATCCTCAAGTGCAAGTATGATGCTGTACAGAACTGGTCAACTTTAATAATCACTTGTGGATTGGCATATTTGCAGACATTTGTATTAATAAATGACTTTATTTTCTTTCCTACCTAGAGACATTACTAGTAAACTTAATTACTAGTAATTAGTTGTAGAGGAGAACTAGATTTAGGCTTATTATTTTTAACTATGCACTTTTGGGATAAGTATTAGATCTGAACTATTCCATTTATAATTATTTGAATTGTATACAAAACTTTATATGAATATTCTATGACTTTAGTATCATGAATCATTACAATGACATTATCATTAATAAACCATATGTATTACACACTAATGAATAAAATAATATTTACAATTTTTATATATTATATAAATACATAAATTAATAGACATTGATAAAAGTAACATGTTCCCTGTTCCCATCACTCATCTCTCATCAATCATAAAATACCTTGTATCAGTTCAATGAAAAGTCAAACATAGGAACACCCACCAGTAAGAATTTCTTTCCTCACTTTGAAAGTGTCGACAATAGGCGTGATGATTCCTTCAATGGTTCCAAACATGCTGCCAAGCCCCAGATTCACCAGCATGAGGAAAAACATCACTGACCAGAAGGGAGAGGCAGGGAAATGTGTCATCGCTTCTGTAAAGGCAATAAAAGCTAAACCAGTTCCCTGCACAGCCTGTAAAATACACAGAACAGCAACCTTAATGCACAGCAACACTAAGCAATGGCTCTATGCATCAGTTACAAAGAGGGAGGAAATCTCCGAGTATTGGCTAGTAGCCACCGGAAATAAGCATGCTGACGTCAGCCTTTAGTCTATGAGAGTATGTGCACAGTCCTAGAATCCAGATTAAGCAGATCAAATGGACCCAGGTAATGAAACTCTGCTTAGAATTATCTAACAGGGTACACAATTACATTGTTTTGTGTGCTCAATATGTCACATAGATCCTGGAATGACACATTTTATTAAAGAAAACTTACTATCTTTTGTTCTATTAAAGTTTAGTAATCTAAATAGTGGTTTATTATCAGAGACACATAAATACAAATATATATACAAATATTTATTGTCCTATATCTAAATATTGAAAACACTTCATTTGACTTACCTTAATGTCGTTTAAACAATTAGCATAAATAAAATAGAAGCTGTAAATCATAAAATTGTTTATATTTTTAAAAATGTAAATGCAAGATAAAAGTATGTAAACAGAAACACTAGATTATAAAAGTCAATTTGCAATCCTAAAAAATAAAAATATAATACATATTTCATCTTCTGCTTATTTTCCTATCTCCCTGCTAAAAAGGTTGGACAGATATGCTGGTTTTTCAAAATTTAAGAGACAAAGTGAACTTCCAGTCAAAATTAATAATGAAACAAATTTTAAAAAAGCACTCCTATCAGCAGAATAAGATGGGGTTTTTTTAGCAAATATTAATATAAGTTAATTTTATAGTAAATGTTATGAATATTGATTTTTTTGTAAGAGAGAAATTTTTGCTATCAGGCACATGAGCTCACCAGAAAGAGGGTAACCACACCTCAGTCCTTTCTCCTCCATTCTCATCTTGGGATTTTGGGCATGCATACATGTATCTGGCATGAGTTTTAAGCTGCTGGGTCTGAGATTTGAACCATGGTTGACTACATGGGAGTCCAACATCATAACCATTATGCCATCTGCTGGTCTCCAAACACTGATTTTTTTTTTTTAATAAAAATTAACTTTTCCTAAAGAACTATTTCTAACCAAACTTGAAGTTAACTGTTTTCTTGCAGAAGGGCAACAGATCGACCAGAATTTTTAAAAGTGAAATACAAAACAAACAAAAAATTGAAACAAATTTAGTAATTAAATTTTTCCTTATATAATTCAAGATTTTTATATTAATGACGAATTCAACTATAATATCCTGTACATGATTTTTTACATTAAATCTCAACCATAGTCAGCAATTTCTTCTCAATCTTTTTTTTGCAATTTTCTTTTTTTTTTTTTTTTTGCCATAGGGTACATGTACTCAAAAGAGAGACAGAGACACTGAAAGAGAATGTGAGAAATCACCCCTCCAAGGAGGATAGCCACATCCTCCATTCTTCTCTGGGAATTTTGAGCAAACACACACACACAAATGCCTGGCGTGAGTTTCAAGCAGCTGGGTCCAACCCTCGAAGCAGGGTCAACCATGTGGTCATCTAGTGCCTTAACTATTACGCCACCTGGTGGTCCCTTTAGCTATTTTTTTTTAAGATAGGGTCTCTCTGAGGCATGATCCTCCATCTTCAGCTCCCAGCCAGAACTATAGGCACTTCACAGTAGATCTAGCTCTTTCTAACAGGATCTCACTATGTTGCCCAGGCCAGTCTGGAGCTCAAAATCTTCCTGCTTCAGGTTCTAGATTCTCTGGGATTACAAAACCAAGCCACCACACTTGACCTTTAGGTAGGACTGGGAACCCAAACCAGCCTCCTGTGTGGTTTCGGCTTACAGAGTGCACCATCTTGGCAGTGCACCATCAGGATCAGTCTAATACTACCTTAAATCAAGAGATGAATGGCCAATTTAGCCATTATATTCCGCCCCCCCCTTTTTTCTTTGAAATATGGAGAAATGGCAGCAGCTAATACAAGACATTGATTAATGTTCACCTATTTATTTTTTATTTAAATACATGACAGTGGCTAGGATAAAGGACCTAGTCATGACTTGAACATGACTGTTACAATGACCATTTCAAATATTATTCCTGCATTAAAACAACCATAGGTAAATATGGAAATGAGAGTCTACAATCCAAATTCTGTGTTAAAAATGATACTAAGATAGGTCTCAGACTATCTTCACTCTATGATGAAAATCACTTTATTTACATTCAGATTTTAAATGATCATGACTGAATCAATGCGGTCGCTATTGAAAGGAGAGTAAATCTTTATGGCTTAAGACAGCACATTTTCTGAAATGAAGAGTGTGAATTTTGAAACAGCATAATCTTCGCCAAGCATTTTAAAATCCATGCTCCTGAAAGAAGCCTGCCGGATAATGCATATTTTAACGTAACGATAATTATTTTATTGCTCAAACATGGCCTACTAACTTTATTTAGCTCATCTTCAGTTTGACAGGCATTGAGCTGAAGAACAGGAAACTCTTCTTCTTTCACTTTTTGAATGATGTCATAAACTAGATGGTAATCTTCTGCAGTAACAGCTGAAAGGTTGATATGATGAGGAATAATATCCTGACTGAGGTTTCCCATTTTCAAAAATTTTATGATCATTTCTGAATTTCTGGAAAATAGGACATATGAATGAGTGCTTAGGGTTTGCCGGTGTATATTTCGTATGCAAATATGCCATCAAAAGCGAATGGAAAGTAATATCCATACTGTGCAATGCATTTCTCATTTATGACATTCGCTTTGAATCCCAGAACTGCAAACACCACCAGGGTCGCCAGGACAGAAGTGAAAAAGTTGATGAAGGACACCAGGACAGCATCAAAGTGGCAGTTGTTGTCTCTCTTGTTGTAGCTTGAAAAGGCAATGACGCCACCAAATCCCAGACCTAAGGCAAAGAACACCTGAGTAGCAGCTTCTCTCCAGACTTTAGGCTCCAGCATTATTTCCAGCTGTTTAAAATTAAACATAATAAAAGTCAGCTATCAGAATAATTCACGTTATGTGGAATTAGTCCTATTGGGTTGTCACGACACATTCTTGCATAGCAAAACTTAGAAAAGTACATCATGACTTCTCCAACAAACCAATATTATCAACTAGATTATGATGATATTCATATACCCCAAATTAAAGTGTTTTTAATTAGGGGAGAAACAAAGAATATGAAGGAGGAAGACTATTAAACCTTTACGTGGAAATTTTACTAACATAGAGATTTGCTACTTTTATAGGAATTTTTTTTAATATTTTAAGATAATCATCCTTGGATGATTATCTTCCATTATTGCCCCTTATGCTTTTTTCTTTCCAAAGAAAAATAGATTACAATAATAGTTAAATAATCACTTCAATAATATTCTTTTTGGGTTTTGTAGCATAAATCTAATGGCTGAAGCACATAACAGAAATAGAGATGAACTATGTATAATCTGCACATTTACAAGATGCATATTTGTATTATTCATTCCTTAAAGTTTCCTGAAAACCTTTCTTTGAAAATAGTTCAAATATATCATCTTTAAAATACCCTCTTAGATCCATACTTTTAATGTTCTGAACCTATACTGAACACATATTTCAAATAACTGTTTTACTTCTTTGATAACTATCACTGTATATAACTGAAACGTTTTTAAAAAATCAATTAAATTAGCTACATCTGACATCGAATTTAACAAGAAATTGTTTGATTTCAATTATGTTTGAATAATATTGTTTAAATTGGTATTTTATCTCTTTTCACCACTGCAATAAAATTGGAAGAAATTTCAGATATGACTGAGAATCTGAGTCCCATAGAGATTTGTAGATTCTGACTCTGCCATCTACTAATTCAAAAGCAGTGCAAGCTGAGGCAAACGGCACATCCTCTCTGCATTTCAGCTTCCTCAACAAAAACAAGGAGAGAGGTGAAATGTATTACTTAACCATAGTGCCCACAACACCCTAAAGTGCTCCGTAATTGCTTACAGACGTGAACTGCAGCGGGAGACACACTGATGACCACTAATCAGTGGTTATCTTTTTCAATATTCATGACTTGTGAAGTTGTTGCTACCAAAATCTGAGTCTTATAAAGGTGAAGTAACCTGCCTAAGGTTACATACACCCCGGTGCTAGGTAGAGATAAAATTTGAAAATGTGAAGACGACTCCCAAATCCAGGCTCTCTCAAATATTAGGATTTATTGCTCCAGTTCATTTTAGTTACCTTCACTTAAATTTACAAAATATTCTAATGGAACATAATTATGAGTATCTTTAAACTCTATGGGCAGTTAACTAAGATATGCATATCCTGTATAGACCATTGCTACATTACCGTTCATGATAATGCTAGATTCATCGACCGCCTATTTCTACCTTGTCCACTAGATGGCAGAAAAGACCCATTTACTAAAGACACTGACACTATCTCCAATTTTTGAACTACATTTCTATCCACTGTTTCCAGACCATTTCATGTACTTAGATCCATTTTCCCTCACATTAAATAACATGAACTAGAAAGTAATGTACAAATTACCGTGAGTGAAAAGTGAGCTTAGGAAAGAATTAACATTTTAAAAAGAATCCCTGTCCAGGTTAAAAATGTTCATTTATGCCGCCATTTCAAATATTGGTATCACGTAAAAGTGCTGTATCAAAATGTTTGCATTTTAAAACATCTAAATTCTAAAATTGCTCTACTTAAATACTTAGAATTGAGTCACAGCAATTACCAACTAGAATATATATGATTTTAGACATTCACACAGAATGCCATTGTTTTGAACTTAGAAAACATTTCTTCAATATTATAAATAAAAATACCTTTGTTCATTAAGCATGACCCATTTGTGCCAACAACTCTAAACGTTAACGGGACTTTTGATCTAGCCGAGGAAACTAGACACCAGTGTCAGCACTTTTGCTACTACAGAACGAATACCAGCTCAGAGCCAGACACACAAAAAACACAGCTTCTTTTCCGTAGTATCAAGCAGCTGTGGGGGATGACAAAGAACTCCAGAGAAGCTAATCCCCTCTGCGGAGATTTCACAGTGTGATGCTGACCACGCATTCATCCTTCAAATAACTTCTAATGTCCAAACTAATTTTGAAATTTTATCTTTAGAGAGTGGTATCTTTAAGTCTGACTACTAACCAAAAAAAAAAAATTGCAAACTGACAGTGAGGTGCAATTTCATTTCCATGAACAACAAAATTATATCCACCCCCAAAACTTATTCCTGTTTCCTGTGAAATTGAGGAGAAACTACCATTAAGTCCACACAGGTTTTGATTAATCAGGTTCAATATATCCAGCACTGAGTTTAGCTCTGCTACATTGAATGACAAAGTAAAAATCGGAGCCCTCCTAGAAGCCTAATGAGAATTTTCCTAAAATGTACATGCATTCATATAAGTCACAGAACTTTCCAAACTGACCACCATAAATATTATTCCAGAAGGTACAAAACCTCCAAAGAAATCAAAAACACTGGCTTTTCTCTGAGACAGTATTTGATAACACAGTAAGGTTCCTAACGGGAATCCATGTATCTCAGGCGATCTGACAACCTCCTGAAATACTACGCAAATTAATATATGCTCATTATTTTTTCAGACGAGATCTTACTGTCAGTTTTTCAAGAGAGCCATGACACAAACTGGTTTAAAAAAAAACACGGAAATAGAGAGGAAAGAGTAAAGGAAAAAAACCTGAAAGTTCCAAAATGTATCAGTATATAAACCAGAAGTTAACTTATTATAAAAGAATAAGTTGTACAGTTGAAATACTGAGAGTCTTACTTTAAAACCAAAACAGGACATTTACAATTGGAGCTAGCTGGATGCAATCATAGCTAAATAAAAGCTCTGGTTTTTCCGGGTTGGTTAACATAACAACTATAATTTAAAAGTTTACTGTACGTATGTTAGAACAGTTAGCCCTTAAATCTTACTGTGAAAATACTTCAACAGTAAACAAAATGCTTTCATGATTATAAGCCGTAAGCGGAAATACAGTAAATACAGTACATACCTTGGGGGTAAACATGTGGCGAATACCATCAATGGAACCGTTTAAAAGGAGTGCTCTGATTAGGAAGCATATAAGTACCACGTATGGGAACAGAGAACTAAAATACATGATCTGCAAAGACAGAGACATAAAAATAGATGAGATGCACAAACAACTTTTTTCTAGTTGAGATTGGATGTTCTGCTCCAGAGTTTGATGGTTCTTATAATGTGATTAATATTTTAAATATCTCCTAGTCACCTTTCAAAAATGATTTTTTTAGTCTTGACTGGGTCTTATGTAAGATCCAATTTGAAATACAATAAAAAAATAAGAAACCTTTGTTTAATCTCCTTCGATAGAGTCCACAGGTATTGTGTGACTTAACACAGCATTGATTCCTTCAAGTTCATAAGACAAGCAGTATTTTAGACAGAAATGAAGATGATACTAACTCCCTACAAAATTCTTACTTTTACTACTCTAAATAGAAAAAAAAAAAATCCTTTTGCTTTTACCCAAAATTCCATTATGATTCCATAATGCTTCTACAATAGAGAGGGTCCCTAGGCTGAAATCTCCCAAACCTGAGCGTTGAGCCATGTAAAGAGCTTACCTTCTCCTTTCGCAATGTTTGTCATTCATTTAAACAGCTCAGCAAGTATTTATCGCTGAAAAGGAGCTTCCCTACCCAGACATTCACTGCCTCCCTGACATCGCAGGTGTCTTGGTTTCCAAAATTTTTCAGGTCTACAAATTCATTCCCCTGAAAGCTGTTCCCGCCCACCTCCATTTGAGAAAATGGGCCCGGCATCCATCCCACTAGTGAAGCCAGACACCTAAGAGCAGCCTGAAGACTACAGGTAACTTTCCTCCTACTGGTTACCAGGCTACAACCCTGGTGATGTCATTTCCCCCGCTTAAAACAATCCAGGAATTCCTAATATCGTTGAGATAAAATGCTAATTCCTCCCCCTGACCCACCAAGTCCTGAACTAAACTGCCTGCCTGATGCTCCACCACCTTCTCTCTTTGCACAAGCCCCTGGGGCCTGCTCTTTTGTGAGTAGACCAGTTTCAGTCAGCGCAGGGGTGCACCCAGCAGGGCTGTGCCCTTGGACTCAAGCATGCCTCTTCCGCATCTGCTCCTCTTTCGTCTCATCTTCCTCGTCTTCTCTTGGAGAACTTGCCTGACAACCCAAAAGAAAGCTATGCCGTTCCCACTCTCTCCTACATGCCCTACTCTCTGCTCTAGGAACTTTTAATAATACCATTTTGTTTTGGTGTGTGTGTGTGTGTGTGTGTGTTTTAAATAGCACCTAGCACTATTGAAATTATCTGATTTATGTGTTTACCTTTTTATTTTTAGTCCCTTCTGCTGGAATATAAACTCTGCGAGGCCAAGGGCCTTTTCATTTCCTCCTGTTTGCTACATATGCTAAACCCCTAACAGAGTTGCTGACACATAGTAGCTAGAAAGAGCAATCTCCAAAACTTCATGGAAAAATGGAAGAGAAAATGAGTTCCTTTTGGTGCAAAAATATTTGAAATCCAGGGACCAGCAGTTAACGTAATGGCTATGTCTCTGGACTCCCACGTAGTCGACCATGGTTCGCATCCCGAACCCGGTGGCTTAAACTCACACCAGGCACGTGTTCGTGTGTCCCCAAGATCCCAAGAGGAGAACGGAGGAGAAGGGATTGCGGTGTGGCCATCCCTCCCCCCCCCCCCTGGGTGTGAGTTCTCTTTCTCACTTTCTATCTCTCGGTCTCTCTCTGTCTGTATGGCGAGCACATGCGCCCTATAGCAAAAACCTCTCAAAAAAAAATTGAAATTCATGCATAGTTTTTTCATAATATGCACTTTCCATGAGCGTTTAAAGACCTCTGGTATAATATGTAACTGTGGAAGGAAGGAACGGAGGATGGTAGGAAGAATGGAACTGTCATAGCAGAGGATAACTCAGGGCAGGTAATACATTGAATTCAATAATAACCATCAACAGCATAAAGTGTAAGACAATAAAATAATCTGCACTTCCTCTACAGTCCACCTACTAATCACATTTAAATACATGTGGAACACCCACTCTGAGAAAAAAAAACTGTATAATGATTAAAACCACAGCATATTTAAAATCTATAGTTTAACAAAAATAATAATACAGGTTGAGCATCTTTAATCTGAAAATCTAAAATCTGAAATACTCCAAAACTCAAAACTTTCTGAGCACCCACGTGACATCACAAGTGGAAAATTCCACATCTGACCTTATGTGCAGGTCACAGTCAAAACCCTATAGTATAAAAATACTGTATAAAGTTGCTCTCAGATAATGCATGTAAGGTACATATGCAACATAAATAAATTTCATGTTTAGATTTGGTTTCTGTCCCCCAAATATCTCATGATATATATGCAAATATTCCAAACTCAAATAAAAATTTCAAAATCTGAAACACTCTGGTCCCAAGTATTTTGAAGAAAGGATACTCAGACTGTTAACTAGCTGTAACATGACATAATTCTGTCAGTCATTTCAAATGGGTTTAATTCTTTGATTATATTCCTTCATGCACATTTCTTGATTGATCACACTGCTTTCAGATAAAGTATTTGTTTTACATTCTCCCTGACTACTCTTAGCATTCTTTAAATTTCTTGAACTCACTTGGATTAAAGTTACCCCTTTTATAATTCTACTTTATAAATCTTGAGGTTAGCCAGAAACATGGACTCATTTTGAACAATAGCTTACTTTTTTTTTTAATTTAAAGAAACTTAAATTTGCTATCTTTTTAGTGACTTAAATGACTTCTATTAATATCTCTTACTTTAAAAGTGAAAAGGAGCTAGTCTGGATAGATTATGATTTTTTCTAATAGAAATGTACCTTTTCATTTTATATTTTAATATAATTCCAGATTAGGTACTAAGGAAAGAAAAGATTTTTCCTGTTCTTGTATTTTTCTGGCTAAAAACTTTTACACATCCTTAACATAGCCCACCCTTCTCCATGTGCCATAGTCGACAGATCACCAAGTCCCGGTCCTACCACCTTCATATCTGCCCTTTTGTCCCTCACAATGATGGGTCATCTTTCACCACAACAGTTTCCTGCTCATCTTGCCTCCAGAGTCTCCATCAGCTCTCATTTTTGCACATCCAGCACCTGACATAGTAGATACTCAAAAATATGAAAGGAGGATTCATAGGGAGTTTTCTGAACACTCTTT